AAGAGGAGATGAGAACTCCCCATGATTTGAACATGCATCTTTTAACAGAATTTCTGTCTTGTAAAGCATAGTGTGTGAGAGTCACAAAGGCTTCCTCACAAGGATCACAGGGCACAGAGAAGTCTTTCAGAGACGGGAAAGGAAGTTGTCTCAGACCTTGGCAGGAAGCAGAGGGAGCCCTTTAGAAACCTATTCAGCACCCCTACCCTAAAAGAAGGCATGCTAAGGGGCGGGGATTTAGCTCAGTGGTTCTATCACCTGCTTCACGAGCACAAGGATCTGAGTTCGATCCCCAGTACAAAAAAAAAAGGCATGCTAACCCCTGGTATTATCTGTCATAGGGGATATTTTTTCATTTTTGTTTTAGGTTTTGTTTTTCTAATGTAGATTGCCTGTTTTGGGTTTTTTTTTTTTTAACCGGGGATTGAACGCTGGCCCCCGCACTTGAAGGCAGGCAGCAGAACCACTGTGCCAAATCCCCGGCTAGGTCTTGTTGTTTTTGAGAAGGGTCTGGCTATGTTGCCCAAGATGACCTTGAACTCCGGCTCAAGTGATCTTCCTGCCTCAGCCTCTGGAGCAAGCAGAACTATAGGCTTGAGCCATTCAACATTAGAAGAAAATTTATAGTTAAAAAAAGAAGAAGACACTGGGCGTGGTGGTGCATGCCTGTAATCCCAGCACTCAGGAGGCTGAGGAAGGAGGATCGCTGTGAGTTTGAGACCAGCCTAAGCTACATAGTGAGTTCCAGGTCAGTCTCAACTACATAGTGAGACCCTGTCTCAAAAAACAAAAAAACAAAAAAAAATAAAAAAGAAGAAGAAGAAGAAAAAATAATTAAAGCCAGGCAGGGTGGCAAATACCTGTAATTCCAGCACTTGGGAGATTGAGGCAAGAGAATGTTGCAAGTTCATAGCCAGCCTGAGCTACATAGTGAGTTCAAAGCCACCGTGAACTACATAGCAAGACCTTGTCTCAGAAAACCAAATTCAAAACAGACAAAAAGACTATAGGGAGGGGAATTTAGCTCAGAGGCACCGCACCTGCTTCACAAGGGAAAAATCCGGAGTTCAGTCCCCGGTATAAAAAAAACAAAATTGTAGCCAGGTATGGTGGCACACATGAGTAATCCCAGCCCTTGGGAGGCTGAGGCAGGAGGATCACAGTGACTTTGAGTTCAGCCTGAACTACTTAGTGAGATCCTGCCTCAAAACAAAACCAAACCATAAATCTGTAGTATAGCTGTATGCATGGGGAGCCGATTCAGAATGTCTCAATAGCAACTAAGATTCCTCAGGAGATTCTTATTCCGGGCAGTTGTTGAATTTACCGGTTAAAAATAAAGTCTCCTCAGGGATTTAAACGGTCTAATTTGAGGTAAGCCTTTGTCAGTTGAATGGTCAAATGCCCTGTGGTCCTCCAGAGTCCCCCCATGCCCCTCCGTCCCCAGACATAGGTACGCCGTGGGAAGCCCTGATGGGAGGGACACTGAGCCAGGGGTGGTGTCACACACCTGTGATCCCAGCACTCTGAGAGGTTTAAACAGGAGGATGGAAAGCTTGAGCCCAGCCTGGGTAACTCAGCAAGATCCTTTCTCAAAATGTGAAAAAAGGGTGGTGGTGGTGCTGAGGATGTAGATCAATCCCCAGTACCTAAATAAATACAAGTAAAGGTGACATGGGAGCTTGGTGGTATGTCACAAGGAAAATATCCTAAAACCTGCTGCACACCCTGGGCCTGGAAGGCGTCCCATGTGACAGTAGCCTCCTAGCACCAGGATCCTGGTGTCGACCCCTCCCTGCTGTCCCGGGCTGGTGTTCCACGGCCGAGAGCTCAATGCTTTGGCTTCCATAGCAGGTGAAATCTTTGGCTTTTGCTCCCTTCTCTCCTCGAGGGCTCACTCTGGGGAAAAGAGCTTCATTTTGCAAAGAGGGTCCATGAGAGGAGACAGCCGCTGGAAGAAGCCTGGAAACAGACCCTCTAGCCACAGACACGCCTCAGACACCTGCAGCCCCAAGGACATCTGTAAGCTCCCAAGAGACCCTGAGGGTGGGGACAGCCAGCTAGGCCCATCCAGAATCCCAACCCATACTAATTATAACTATAAACACTTGTTATTTAAAACCACTACTTTTGGGGGGATGTTGGTTACAAAACTATAGCTAACTGATATACACCCTCTCTTGCAAATTTCACTGATAATGCTGGGTGTGGTAGTGCACATCTGTAATCTCAGTATTCTGGGAGGCTGAGGCAGGAGGATGGAAAATTCCAGCCTAACCTGGGTCACTTAGCAACTTAGCAAGAATTTGTCTCAAAATAAAAAAAAAAAAAAATTAAAAAGGGATAGGGATGTAGCTCTGTGTAAAGGCCCTGAATTCAATCCCCATTTCCACCAAGAAAAGAGAGAAAAACAAGCCCAGCTTGGGCAATTTGGTGGGATTGATCCCATTTCAAAAAAATTTTTTTCTTTAGTAGTAGATGGTGGTGCACAACTGTAATTCCAGCATTCAGGAGGCTGAGACAGGAGGATTGTGGCAGCCTGAGCTACATAGTGAGCTCAAGGCCAGCCTGAATTACATAGTGAGACCAAGTCTCAAAAAAAATTTTTTTTTGGGGTGGAGCTTGAGGCCAAGAATTTGAGGCCACCTTGGGTAACAAGACAAGACACTGACTCGATAGATAGACAGCACTTGTCAAAAAACAACAACTTTTTTTTTCATTCTCCTTTCAGTCTTTTTACAGTTTATCTCCCAGCCTCCAGTTTCTTCTCCTTGCCACACCCTCCCAACACGTAGGTCCTCCATCCTGGTGGCCACCTGGGATACACGCTTTTTGTGGCAGTGGGGGGTGTACTGGGGATCGATCTCTGGTCCTTGTGCTTGCAAGGCAGGCAGCAGCACCACTAGAGCTAAATCCCTGGCGCCCCTGATATGCGCCCTTCTGTCCTCTACTGACCACTCTGTCGTGGACCGAGCTCCTCTCGTCCTCCCCGCACACTGGAATGCGCTATGGCCAATGCTGAGTGAAAACCGGGCAGAAGGCACAGGCTGGAAGGAGAGGCTGGGCCGCTACCAGCCACATTAGGGGCTCTGCAGGCACCTCCGTTTCTCTCTCCTTCTCAGTCATTTGAAGAGATGCAGAATTTCCCTGAAGACAAAATATCAGAAAATCTCCGGAGGGCCAGGCCCCGCCGGCATCTCTAGGTCCTCAGTGTGTCCAGAGGAACGAGGCCCTGTCACCCACAATCTCCAGGGGCTCTGAGCTCTTCCTGGGCTCCGCTGAGACTTATGTTTGCTTCATCTTTAGCTAACTATAAAACCCATGTGCTGATGGAAATCAGACAGTTGCTTATTGTGGACAGAATCCCCCAAATTCTCTGGGGTTGTCTTGCAGATGACTACAATTAGGAAGGAAGATAGCTACAGTGTCATTGTCTATATGAAAAAAAAAACAAAACAAAAGACAAACATTTGCTTAGGATTTTTATTATTTATTTATTTTGAGGCAGGGTCTCACTATGCAGTTCAGACTGCCCTGGAACTCACTATGTAGCCCAGGCTGGTCTTGAACTTGCAGCAATCCTCCTGCATCAGCCTCCCGAGTGCTGGGAGTATAGGCATGCGCCACTATGCCTGGGAGCTTGGGATTTTTAGATCTTTTTGATGGGGTTAGATCTTTTATAGTTGATCTCCCCTTTGGGCTGCAAGCTTCATATAGGGAAGGGTGTGATTCCTGTGGGTACCCACAGTGCTCAGAGGATCTTAAATGTAGAGCAACCCCAGTGAACATCCGCTGGAGGATGCACCTTGCATATCTGTTGAAGGACTGGCGTAACTCCATCAGAGGGGTCTTTCAAATGAGGCACTTGGCTAGTGCTTCTAACTAAGCATTAAACAGTTCACCACAAAAAGTTCACTTATTTTTATTTTTTTGAGACAGGGTCTCACTGTCTGGCCCAGATTGGCCTCAGACTCATGATGATCCTCCTGTCCAAGCCTCCTCAGGGCTGGGATTAACAGGCATGTGCCACCATGCCTGGCAAAATTCATTCAAAAAAATTGCATCAAATATCAGAATATACAGATGTGTTTTCTTCATGACGAAGACAGGCTTTTCTTTCATTTCTCTTTTTTTTAGGTAGCAGCCTGCCTAAAATGGTCACTAGCTTTCCCACAAGACCCAGGAGTTTCCCCGCTTTGGAACCAGTACCGCATTTCCTAGGATATGTGACATCCTTGTCACCTCGTCTAGCTATTAACAGGTGCTGTAACCAGTGGAAAGGGGGTGTGCCTGGGAGTTTGATGCTAATGTAAGAAAGCAGAAAGTCTGTTCTTCTACTAAGCTTTAGCCTTCCATTCTCCACTGCACCCTATTGTGTTTCTTTTGGTACTGGAATTTGAACCCCAGGCCTTCACAATAACCACATCACCAGCCCTTTTCTCTTCTTTATTTTGAGACAGGGTCTCAATAAGTTCCCCAGGCAAGACTTGAGTTTGTGATCCTCCTGCCTCAGCCTCCCTCATGCTGGGATTGGCCCGGAACCCGGGAGGAAGCAGATCCCCTGCGGGCTCTGGCTCTCCAGAGTGAGGTGAGGATTCCCCAGAAGAGGAATCACAGTAAGGCCGAGGAAGGGGCAAAGTGCCAGAATAGTGGGTACGAGAGAGGCCAGGAGGTTCACATCTGCACATCCCACCCTGAAAGTACAGCATTTGGATTTGGCCTTCAGCTCTGGAGAGGCCACTGTAGCGGTCTGGTAGCTTGAGAGCAGGATTTAACACTTGTCACCTCTTGGAACTGTACATCCGTGGACTGCGAGGTCTCTGAAATCTGGCTATTGACTACATTTCCCAGGAATCTCCCGCAGTGATTGATAGCTCTATAACCCAATAGACAACGAGAATTTCTAATCATGGTAACAGAGAAGCCAATGAGGAGGGGCTAGGGGTTGAATTTTCCGGCCCCTGGCGGTCGGATGCAGAGTCCCACCTGTGCGGGTACAGCTTTGTCCCTAAATCACAGTCGGGTTCTGGGAGGGACCTACTCGGTGCTGTGGGCTGGCCGCTGTTCTGCAGTGGAGGACTTTCACTTCCTGCTCCACCCCAGGCCGGGCCTGGGGCGGTGAGTGAGCAAGGGCGCAGACCGAAGCCCAGGGGCGTGGAGGGGCTTGGCGCGGGAGGTGCGGGATCTACACCGCGAGCGGAGAGCACATCCTCTTTCTCTACCTGCTCCTCAGGGGTGGTCTTCGGGTTACTGCTCATCTTTGTGACCCTGTGGCCGCTAAGCCCCCCTAAAGGCCTGGAGCCCCGCTGGGAAGAGCGAGTGTGGGCCTCACCTCGCCGTCGCCGTCCTATAATAAACCCAGCGAGCGCCTTGGCTTCGCACATTGGCGCTTAATCACAACCCCTAGCGCCTTGAGGCTTCTGGGGTCACGTGCACCCCCACGGAATTCTAAGGTTTGTCTGTCAGTCGTGCTACTTCCAGTAAATGGGCTCTGCCCTTGAGCGTTTCTGAGGAATGGAGACATAAAATCTATGCTCAAATCTCTTCTTAGAATTTTTATTCCCTAAGTATTATTTATTCGTTTACATTTTAAACCAGAGGACCGGCTCGGCTTTGTGGGCTGGGCGCTGCTGCGCAGTGGAGGATTCACTTCCTGCTCCATCCCAGGCCTGGCCTGGGGCAGTGAGTAAGCCAGGGCGCGGGCAAGCCCAGGGGTGTGTAGCTCAGCGGCACAGTGCCTACCTGGTAAGCGTGAGGTCCCGAGTTGAATCCCTGGTACAGAACAAAAAACAAGAAAACCAAAAGAACAGGGAGGTGAAATGTGTTCATACGGTTTTTTGAGTTCTTGAAAACTCAACAAATGAGTAATGACATTGTCAATTGATACATAAAAATTTCCATGAAAGTTTATGTGCATGTTTAGGTAGTAACACGTGCTTCGATTGGTGGTATGAGACGTGAAAGACTAAAACTTCCTCTTCCAAGTTAGTTCTCCCTCTACTGAGATGCAGAATCCTTTGTAAATGGTAGTGGATTAGCTGGCTAGTTTGTTATTGTTTACACTGAAAACTTGTTTTTTAAAAAAAATTTTGTCCGTTTTTTGAGACAGAATCTCACTATGTAGTTCAGGCTGCCCTCAAACTCCTGGCAATCCTCCTGCCTCATCCTCCTGAGTGTTGGTGTTACAGGCAATGGACCCCATGCCCAGCTCCACCAGAAACTTTAGGAGAGAAACAGGCATGTCTCACCACACCCAGCTTGTATTTTTCTCTTTCGAATGGCTATATCACCTGTTGCTGGGAAAATGTTTAAATTCAACTTTATAGTTTTTTTTGGTGGGGGAGTTGTTTTGTTTTGTTTTTTGGTAATAGCTATCAAACTTGGGACCTTCTGCTTTCAAGGCAGGTGGCAGAATGACTGAGCTAAATCTCCAGCCCTCAACTTTATAGTTAACTTTCTTGATTCCTTCTGGTACCGGGGATCCAACTCTGGTCCTTGAACTTGCGAGGCAGGCCACCGAACTGCTGAGCTAAATCCCCCGCCCTTGATTCTTTCTAAGGGTGAGGTCATGGCAGCTTTGTTTCTGATAAAATTACTTCTGCATCTAAATTTAGCCTGGTGTCTTCAGAAATGAGTGAATTATGGTGCACCCAAGCCTTGCATATGTGTGTGTGTGTGTGTGTGTGTGTGTGTGTGTAGAGGAGAACAGCCTCCCCCACTTGGGGATCCTTCATGTTAGCCCTTCACCGGCTCACCCTCTTATTAAGCCCAGACCTACACTACTGGTTGCCTGTGTTCTTGACCTAGGGAGAAAAGCGAGCTGGGCTTAGACTCACCACCTCTGTTCACGTTCCCGCATAGGCTCTCTAGATCCAGAGTGATTCCCCAGCTGGAGCAGAGGAAAGTGCCATGGGTCCTGCCACTCCAGAGCTTTGAGGCCAGGATGATCCTAAGGGGAAGTCATCCTAAGGTGAGCTTTGCATGCTGCCTGTTTGGAGGGGAACATCTGGAAATTCATCCCTTTTATAGATGAAGAATTTGGGATATTTCCCTGACTTTTTACTTTTCCAGGAAAAAAAAAATGCAAAATTTATAACATACCTAAGGTATGTGAGCACCAGACTCTTGCTCTAGACTTTTCTTTGTAAGTGTGGTACTGGGGATTTGAATCCAGGGCCTTCACACTGAGCTACATCCTAGTTATGTTTATCTTTTAGTTTAAAGCAGGGTCTTGCTAAGTTGCCAGACTGGGCTGGAACTTGAGATCCTCCTGCCTCAGCTTCTGGGATAGGCTCCTTGTTATGGGAGTTAACATTTCAGCTGGGTATGGTAGCACATGCCTGTAACTCCAGCACTCTGGGAAGGTGAGTCAGCAGGAGCACAAATTAGCAAGTTACTGAGATCCTGTCTCAAAAAGCAAAGGAAAGAAAGTGGGGGCTGGAATATAGCTCAGTGCTGAGGCCAGTATCACAAAAAAAAAAAAAA